GTCGCTATCGGATTCCACTATAAGCTTTGGCCGCTTTCGTTTCACCGTTCTGCTCTCATCCTGAAACTGGGGAAACTCCTGCAAAATTGATGTGGCACGGCATTGGCTCTTTCAGGCTCAGATATTCAAACAAATCCCATGGTACTTCTGCAACCTATCCTGATGCAACCCAAAAGCTTCCGTCTTCCCTGGGTGGTCCTGACAAATTTGAGTAGTGCTGACAGTAGCGAATTTTTCTTGCTATGCTCAGCTGTTTTTTAGTCCTATAAGTATCTCTGTCCTTCAGTGCGCTCCAAACTTCTGTCCAAGAAAAGAGTAACAGTCATAAAAGGTACCATGGCAGATGCAACCGTTCTTAAGCCCTGCTATTTTGAGTTAATTTTCCAAAAAAGAAAAAAAAGAACATCGTGAAAGAAACACATACGTCGCTGAAGTCGGTTATTTTCTTCAGTGGTTTTGATCGACGCAACGAACGCGCACTTTGGGTGCTGTCGTCGCTCAGTATTTCCATCACAGCAAAAAGTTCACTGTACCGTATTCGAAGAGACGAAACCTGAGATGCAGAAAACAGCGGTCAGTAAGTATGCCATACCATTGTCAGGGAAAATGTCAGGAAGAATTATTATCTCGGGAACCACGCAAGCTGCAGTCTGAAGTTTTTGTGCATGTCCCCTACCAACATACGATCCCATAAATTTGGATTCAGCCTTCACGCACCTCTGGGTGTCAATTACGGCCTCGTGAATGTTTTGGATCGCCCCAAAAACTAGTGCATGTATTCAATATTACAGATGCTACTGTACGTCAGGTGTCGCTGCGCCAACCCCTTGGATTTTGCGATGCATATCTTCAGCTTGTCTTAAAATGCATACTCAGCAAGTAAAGGCAAAACAAAACTAGCACCGCCTTGCACAAGGCTTGTTGGTGTGTGCTCATGCACTTTTTATACAGTTTTCCCTCACGAGTGTCGCTAAATGGTACTATTTTTTTTCGAGGTGGGAAGGGGAGGTCGGGTACTTCTAGCTAACATACGCATAAAACATGGATTAGAATTATCCGTTTTTTTTTTTACTTCTTCCCAAATGCGTTGCCATGCAAAAATTATGAATGTTATTTTCACGTGCACTTATCCAGACACGATCGTGGCCCATGCAATTAAGGGACGGTTTGGCTGTCTAATTTTCAACGGCCGCTTCTGTCGCTTTGAAATAAACGGTGATTTTGTCGACTGGTCTTCTAATTCTGCGTGTGTTTTCTCAAATGTATTTGCGTGTTGTTTTTTTTCGTTTCGAATTCGGCCTATTTTTTAGCAATCAGCGAAATTTGATTTTCCATTGGTTTATTATCATGTATGACTTGTCAGTTGCTTTGGACGTTCGTCTTGCCAGTTCTCATTTTGAACTGTGGTTTGGGTGGCTGGGCTGCATTGTGAGCTTTGCACTTTCACTGCGTGTAATTATTTCGCTTTTGATTTTAAGCTTTGGTTTTATTCCTTTTTTGCGGTTTTATTTCCTTTTCCACCAGGAGCTAAGTGTCATTTTTGTTTGTAGAAATGTTAAATGATGTTCAGACGGGCCATGAAACGCTAATTCTCGCTGCAAAAAAATGAGCTTCAGCAAAGTTAAGCAAAATATGCAACCTTTTCTGCAGCCCTCGCTGTCGTGAATGCTTCCTGGAGAACCGGACGAGCCAGAAATGCTTCGGCAACATGACTGTCTTTTGATAAGCAACTCTGTCTGAATTTATCAAGATGCGCAAATAGTTGATCCAAACATACATACCTGTAAATTACATGTACAAGTTCACAACCCAATGCCAACCAACGAACGATGATTATCAAAAATGAAAATCGTCTCCCCATTCAATTGCTCTGCAAGAATTAGAAAGTAGCCCGAATGATGCTGTCAAAGTGTTAACAGGAACTATATAGCTGATAAAACAACTATCGACAGCTTTTTCTTTCGAAAATGCAAGAAAGCAAGCTCAGGGCTTTATGAATGTCAAATTCCGATCATGTCCCGATAATCCCATTTAGAATATTCAATACCAATAAAATCAAAAACCAATTCCCGTCTTCGTTCTACAAAAACAAGGAGCACAGGTATTCAGAAAGCAGCTGTGAAGGGTAGCAGCTGCTAAAAGTTTTTAAAAAGAAATTTCACAAATACCTCTGATTAGGACGCTTATTCTTCGAATGTATTGGGAGTAGATCACCCGATTGGATCAATTTATCGATAAGATTTGACAACAGTTCAGCTACTCGTCCAGCATAATCTGAATCCTTGATCAGCAATTTCAGGCAATTCACCGTGAACATATCAACGGTGGTTCGCGAAAGAAGATTTCGAATTAAGCCCATATTTGGTTCGCGATCCATTCTGAACAGAACTCGTCAATGGATTATTAACACACAGACAAAAATTCTTGAAATACATTAACTAGTTTAGCCGATGAATGCATAAACGGATAACTTTCAAGTTAGGAGACATTTTTTTGCAAGCAACATCGACTGTGAAAAGAGAGAGAGATTTTAATTACACCCTCTTAGCATGAGATTTCAAGGTCTAAAAAGCAAGCCCTTTGTCAGGAATAGGTGGTGTTGAGTTGCAATCTAGGTCCGTAGATATTACTGGCGATTCCAGAAAAGTTGGCGTCAACAGGGAGGGTCACTGAGCTGGTAAGTTCTCCAGAAGAGAACGCAAAACAAACGCCCAAATCAAAACCATGCTGACCTACGGCATGCAGTATTTGACAGAGCAAGTGGAAAAGTTGCCAGATGCATAGCGTGAAAATTAAACTGCGAATTACAGATGATCCGAGTATTTCATGACTTATGCTACTCTAACAGTTTTTCTCATGGCGAAACAATGATTTCCAGACTGAACAAAGTCACTGTGCTAGATACGCGATCATTTCAAGTTTCGCAGAATCAACGATGGCCTGGAAATTTCAAAGCAGGAGGGCCATGCTCGCCTTTTCAATATCGCTGAGCTAAAAGCAGTGCTGCACAAATTTGACGAAATAAAAATTGAAAAAAAAAACGAGGACAAGACCTACAAAAAAATTTTCGGTGGTTTCGAAATCATTCCAAATCCTAACTCACTCACTCACTGCCCTCAT